CTATTTGCCTGGGCACCAATGTTCGGGATTACATACAGTAATATCGTGGTAAAAAACTACTGCTGTGTCTAAACCATAGATCTTCAACCTCACGAGCAGAAACGAATGGAGGTGGGGGGGGGGGGGGGGGGGAGGGGGGGGGGGGGGCTCGCAGGGCCGCTCTGTTCTCGCGATTTTTGCGTTGGAAAACAGTAATGGCGGCCCCCCCCCCTCCCGGGCAGCCGATGCACTGAAATGGGACCATGAAACGGTGCCATCCTGACAAATCCGTGGCCAGGGCCAAGAGCGGTAGATATCAGAATGGTGCACGCAGTGCAGTACTCGTCGGTCATCGACCGTCCCTCTTACCCGCTCAGATTATGTCACGCTGAAACACACAAAAATGTGTCTGTGTATAAAAACAAGCATGCGACAACGAACGTAAGGGCATGTCCTGGTCCAACGCGTTTTGCTGTCGCAATGAGAACAGCACTGGTGACTTGTAATAGGGTCAACGAGTCGGGCGAAGACATGCTCCATGGTGGTGACGGCGAGAGGACCGAAAATGGCCCCGCCGCGGCGACAAGATGGACGAAGTCAACATCGAGCACATGTCGCTGACCCTCGTTGCCGGCTTCGTGGCGACCAAGTGCGAACACCTCGATCCAAGTATGGGGCTGTCGATCCGAGAAGCACCACCCAGCCGTGTGCCAGACAGCTGGATACACGCGATCAGCCAAAGTGGTGTGATGGTACCGTTGCCGGCCTAGACGAGCGTTGCCGAAGCTTCGAGATCATGTTCCAGCTAGTGATGGGGTGAGGCATGGACCGAGACATTGGTATCGTCGACTGCCTCAAAAAACTCCTGATGAGAAAGTTCTGCACTGGACAAGCGGATTGCTCGGAAGCTGGTGACGACGAACATCCATCTGCGCCTCGGATGGCTTAATGAGGCTGGGGCTGAGCGGGCTGCTGCCAGACGCGCAGCCAAACAGGTGGGACATCAGGTGGACGGCGTTATATGAACATCGTTGTGCTGTGAGCATACGTAAGTAACCTCAAGTGGGCATCTTCATGCCTTCTTTGTCTTGCATGCTTGTGTGGCTGTCTTAGGCATAGACGGTTTCGTCGCAGATAAACGTTTGGGTTGTTTCAGACTGGCTATCATGTCGCATAACTCTAGATTTAAGCTGAAAAACATAAACTTGTGTTCTCCGCGCCCCCTCCCTGTTTGCTTTGCGCCCTCGCCAAGTGTGCACAATGAAGTGTATGCTGGGCGCAAGAATCGGTTCAGTAAAATATGGTGAATTATGAGTCACACGTGTGTTCGATGAACTGGCTGCATGGCGTGACGGATATTTTCTTGATTAACGCCACGCACCACGACCCTCGGAGGCTTCGTGTCATAGTTTATGCAATGTGCAATGTCCACAATGTCCTTTGTTCTACCAGGCAGCACACCACTTCCGTCGTCTCAAACTGCCTACGCCACACACCAATGCAACCCGGCGCGTCATGATGTATAGTGTTGAGGTTCAGTGCAACAGTTCGGACGATGATCCTGGTGCCGGTCAGTTCCTCCTCTGGCAGTGGCTGGACCTTGGGCAGGCTCGCCAGGCTGCATTTAAGCAGCTGTAGGCTGGCCAACTTCGATATATCGCCATAGACTCAATATTTGGCATTCTCTACAAGTGGGAGTGCCATGGCACACAGGTTCCTGGTTCCCAAGCCTATGTTCGTTGTTATACACCCAGCGTGGAAAAAATCCCCCCTTTCAGATTTCCTCATAGTACCTCTTGTAGCGCCCTGTGGCGATCATCAGGTGCATTTGTTAGTAGGTGCACCGGTGTAGCAAACGCGAAGATAATACGGACGGAGCGGTGGTGCCAGGCTGCGACTTTGTGACTTCACTGTAATAGTGAAGGGAAAGTGCCGGAAAAATCCCCGGATGATCATACCTTATTACATGGCCTTGCCCCAAATGTTATAGTGGTGGGATGTGGGAACATAAAAATGCGTGCCCGTAAAAAATCGACCAGCCCTCGAGCTAACGTCGCAAAGGACCCCCCAGTGCCAGTTCTTCTTTAATCAGTTTGTGGGGACATGACATGTCCCCATAAACCAAGATGTTCCCACATCCCAGGTGGATGACATTTTTATGTGTCCGTAAACTAAGTATCTAAAAATACACACAAACACACACACACACACACACACACACACACATACACACACACACACACACACACACACACACACACACACACACACACACACACACACACACACACACACCACACACACACACACACACACACACACACACACACACACACACACACACACACACACACACACACACACACACACACACACACACACACACACACACACACACACACACACATATATATATATATATATATATATATATATATATATATATATCGGGCATGTTCCGACAAAATTCATGTTTTGTAGAACGTTTCTAATCATACGTTTTGGCGTTTTGTAACAAGCAGTGGGCAATCAGCCGCCGTCGTGTGCCCTTACCTGAAGTCTTTCCCCGCGCTCGGAGGCACGCACATGTCGCGCGCACCACCGCACGCACGTCAGGGAATCTCGGCGGTGGTCGAGAGACTGCGCGGCGTCGCTACAAGGCGTGCGGCATCAGGCATCCTCCTCTGCCAATGACAAAGACACCTGGCAAAACACGCTTCGAGCGGCGAGACATGCCTTGGCACACTGAGTCATGAAGCGTAATATGTCGGTCCTGGAAAACAATACACACGCCGCCTCGCATGACACGTCTGCTGCAGTGTCCTCAGAGAGCAGTGAGGCACACTGAAAAAGTTGTTGAAGCCTCGCTTCCTAGGCAGGCTTGGGCGCCTCTTCCCAATTGGTGTTCAGGCTAGCAGGCGGCACTGAGGTAAGCCACGCTGGTTCGCCTAGCTTGCTAGTCAAGTGATGCGTGTGCGCACAGGCTCGTCGGTTTGCAAGACAGCACTGGCATCCATGCACACTCGTGGCTGTGTACTACTCGGGTGGAAGTAGGAGCATTCCATTTTACAGCTTTCATGATATCCACACAAACTGTAACGCAGGTATCTGGTTGAATAAATCAGTCCACCTAAAGCAATTATTTATCTGTGTTTTGCTAAAACGAGAATAAAAAGCGTCATTGCAAACCGCGCAGCAACAATGCAGCAAACATAAAGGTATCAACTTCGTAGATATGACCATCGGAAGCATACGAGGGTCGATGATGCAAGAATGACAGCATTGCAAGACATATGTAATGAAGCGTACCGTCAAACGGGCCAGACAAGTGCGCGGCGCCCGAAGCATGATGTGTCGATAATGCGCTCCACTTGGGCCGCCAGCACCTGCCGATTGTGGTTTGGATCTCCGTTCTTGCTTGTCATAGGCTTCCTGGCAACGGCTTGTCATCGTGCTTTGAACGGCACTTGCGCAGTGCGGACGGCGCTGACGCCATCGGCGGAGGCGTTCGGTCGGACACATCTGCGCCACACTTCCGACGCCACCAGACTAGCTGAAACTGACGAAGAGGTAGGCAAGAAGTCACCACTTATAATAGACCACCACTGAGTTTATTTGTGCCAAGCACACAAAAGCGAATGTGGAAGAAAGCACGTTTTTGATGCATGCATTTCAAATGGTGCTCATAGGTGTATTTGATTTTGGGGTCTCTGCTGAGCATTGCTTGCTGCGTTTACCGTGATCCCACCACCAAACTATGCCGTCCAGTTCAACGGGTAACCTTGCATCTGCCCTTTCGTCAGGTCTGTGGAGTGATTCAAACTGCGCAATGCTACGGTACGTCCGCCCCGGGCCTGGTTTGACTATCATCGACCAGTTACCAGCTGACCTTTCTATGTCTGTCGGGCCAAACGACGCGCCCGCTTTGAGAAACGCAAAAGTGACGATGAATGACGAGCCCGGTGTCTGTCCCAGACCACGGAGGTGGCAAAGTGGTATTTGTGGACAGTGATACTTGATAGCAGCTGAAATGTGGGAGAGGCGCTTAGAACACAAAACGACGCCTATGGTACAAGGAACCGAGAGAATAAGCTTTAACGAGAGCATGCCTGGAATACCAAAAGCAACTTAAATGCAAACGTATATGCTAGCGACGTCATGAGCATGAGTTCACTTTCCGCGCAGGGTGGTTTGGGGCCAGTCCAGGATATTTGGAAGAGATGGGTTCTATGGAAACAATTGAGGTGAATTCGTAGAAAACTGCGACATGTGCTGGTTATCCAGTCTGTAACATTGCTCGGCACCACAAATAGCACTACAACAGAATGGTACTCAGAATATGTCAGTGCATAGGTCATTACGTTACAGCACCATCACCTGAGAAGACGCATAAGCGACAATATCTGTGCTGTTCGGCCTTTGATGGGATAGGGTTTGAAAATTCATCTATGAAACTGCAGCTTTTTACTCGCAACGGCACAAGAATTTAGAAACGTTGTTGCTCGTTCCATTCCACACTGTCCATCAAATAGGCATAGCTGCCTTCTGTCTCCCACCCAGCCTCACCTGACCATCGCCCCATAGCTGCCTTCTGTCTCCCACCCAGCCTCACCTGACCATCGCCCCATAGCTGCCTTCTTTCTCCCACCCAGCCTCACCTGAACATCGCCCCATAGCTGCCTTCTTTCTTCCACCCAGCCTCACCTGACCATCGCCCCATAGCTGCCCATCACTGGTGTTACATGACATTCACATCGTGCTGTGGCGCATTATCTTGTCACTTGGCAAACAAGCGACACAGCATAATCGAAGCGGAATGGGCGAATCAGTCGGTTTCTTGCTCGCAGCTTTCAAAGGCACTGCACACTTGTGTCAGAAGCTCCTGACGTACGCACCAGGTATGCTGACTGTGTGTTCTTGTCAGCGGAGCGCCTCGCGTCACACACGTGCCCATCTGCTGCGCGTGACCTGAGTGGTATATATGCAGCTCGGTCCCTTCAGCACCACCACAGAGCTACAAGATGCTTCGTCTAGTCGTGTGGTGTCTCGTGCTGGGCGTCGGCCTGGCCAAGCCGCCGCCGCCCTCGGGCAGCGCCGGCTCGGAGCCGCGACCGCCGCCCCAGTCCCGGGAGTCGTCCGTGCCCCCTCCGCAGCCGCGCCAAGCGCAGCCGCTGCCGCCGCCTGACTCCGAGGACAGAGCTGTGTTCTCGCTCGAGCCGGGCGAATACTACTTTACCTCGCCCCGCTTTCCCAGGTCGTACCCCAACAACGTGTTTCAACGCTACCAGCTGAGAGGTCAGCAGGGCCAGGTGATCGACGTCGGCTGCAGCGCCTTCAATCTGGAATATCACTCGTCTTGTGCTTACGATTTCTTGTCATTCGACGGAGACAGGTACTGTGGAAACCTCGGCAGCATCGCCACCAAGAGCAGCACTGACTTCAACATAGTTTTCAAATCAGATTACAGCGTAAGGAGGACAGGGTTCCGCTGTGATATTACTGTCCCAAACAGCAGTGGAGGCACCACGGCTGCGACAACGGCTGCCACCACGCAGGCGCCATCCGGAGACCAGTGTTGCGGCGTCCCCAACAGAGCGTCGCGCATCGTCGGCGGCGTCCAGACCGAGGTCAACGAGTACCCCTGGCAGGCGGGTCTGGTGAGCCCCGGCGGCACCCGAACCTACTGCGGCGGCACCGTCATCAACAACCGGTACGTGCTGACGGCAGCTCACTGCACTTCAGGTGACTCTGCGTCCCAGGTCCAGGTGCTGCTCCGGGAGCACAGGATCGGCGCCTCGGACGGAGAGCTTCGCTTCAGCGTCTCACGGATTATTCAACACCCAAACTACAGATCACCGTCCCGCTCTGGCTATGACTTCTCCCTGCTAAGGCTGACCCAGACTATCAACTTTGCATCTCTGAACAACAGGGTGGCGCCGGCGTGCCTGCCTTCCAGCGGAGCCTTTGTCAACGTGGACGCCGTCGTCAGCGGCTGGGGCACGACCTCCTCGGGCGGCTCGCAGGCCACGGCCCTGCGTGAGGTCACCGTGCGCACGCAGTCCAACAATCAGTGCAGACAGGCGTACAGCACGATCAACGACAGCATGCTGTGCGCCGGCGTCAGCGGCGGCGGCAAGGATTCTTGCCAGGGCGACAGCGGCGGCCCGCTGGTCACGCCGGTCGGAGGTCGCTACAACCTGATCGGGGTGGTCTCCTGGGGTAGAGGCTGCGCCCTTGCCAACTACCCGGGTGTCTACGCCAGGGTGACTTCCGTCACCAGCTGGATCCAGCAGAACACTGCTGATGCCTCTCTCTGTTAGGTGCTGTCCTGACGTCTCACCGTAATACGGGAAACGACCAGACTCACTTTGGAGTGTGATGCTCTATGGTCTGGTGTGGAAAGGCGCGTGGCTGCTGTGAAACAAAATTGAGCCGTTGTAGCTGTGCATGCACCAGGTGACAGAGGAACCAGACATGCACAAACCCAAGTCCCAAGTATGGCGTCGTGGCATGCAACAATCGTTTCGATACATAATGTCTGGCTTTATGTTTTCTCCGCTTTTGCTGTGCGAAAGCATCCTATTCGTATAGTTGGCTTGTTTTGCGGTTTCGGTGAAAATACAAGCATTTCAAAACTTCCACAGCTTTTTTCGCACGGAAACATGGTTATGTCGCAAGAGACAAATGCCGTTATGGTATAACACATCCCATTATGGCTCATACATGTCTCTTTACCGTTATTTCTAGACATGACAGCGCTAAAATACCAACTGTTCGCGTAACATCCCCTGCCCTGCGCTTCTTTCTATGATCAGTGAGTTTTCCATCTCTCTCCTTCCTTAAAAAAACACGGATACTGGCGCTCTTTTCGAAGACAAATCCTAACAAAGCCCCAGCGGCGACTTTATCTGTTCCCGGCACAGCGTGCTGTCGTGCGACTTGAGCTGCGCAGTTGGTACCGCTGGGTCGGTGCTAAGCTCCGTTCTTTGTGGGCTCCATCCGACCTTGGGTTGAGTCAGTCTGCTGACCATGGGCGTACGAGAACAACGCTCTGACGACCCTGTAGCGCCAAATCACGCATCAGCGAAGCATGGGCTCAAATAAGATCGAAACAACACAACGCGGCGTATTCAGGAAATTTCCACTTGCCTCCAACCTCGACCCTGCGCCCTTTTTCAAATGGAAATATGCTGTTCAAGATAGCCTTTCAAACATTATGCGAACGCGAAAAGCTTTAACACTTTTCCTATTTTCAAAAACTTGAAATTTCCACCTTACTTCTAAGGAAGATGGGGCGTTTGACTCCTACAGTAGGCACGCATTAATGGTACGTGATTCACATGCTCGTTATTAGTCAGCCGCGTTGCATTCAGTTCTTTCGCTTACGTGTTTCGCGAAAGACGTCTGGTGTACGCAGCTCGTGGATTTATCGCTGGTGAAAAAATCGACGCCTCCTCAAAGCCCGACATACTTGCGGTGGGATAAGTGTTTAGTTGCCTACATGGAATCTAGACTACGCACAAGCCGAGTTTTCATCCCAGTTTACATGTTGAGTGCGTTTTGAAAGCGAGATAGGCAAGAAGATAAGAAAAGACATCTACACCTTGCATGTAACCAGGATAAAAGTCAAATTCAGTCTGTTTAAGTGACACTGAAGGTAGTGATATGCTTATTCGATAGCACCAGCCGCCACACCTCTGAATATGCCCAAGCCGAGGCAAGAGGACACGATGGCCGGCCAAATCGAGCCAACCTTCAACTGGGAGACGAGGATCCCGCACACAGTGGTGCTAATGCTGAAGTCCACCGAGGAGGACCTCATTCTCAAAGCATGCCAGTCGCTGTACAAGTTCGCGCACGAGGGTGAACTGAACCAGAACCTGCTGATCCAGTACGATATCTTAGTCCTACTACTGGATCACCTGGAGCACCCGAACCGCAACGTGCGCCGTATGTCGGCCATGACGCTGAGCGAGCTGTCCGCCAACAACTCGGTGCAATCGGTGCTCGTTTCCAGCGAAAACGTTGTGCGCCTGGTGCGCGTGCTGCGCGAGGACGACGACTGCGTGGTGGACGAGGTGGCCAGCAGTGCCCTGCTTCGTCTCGCCTCCGACGCCACCGGACGCGCCATGCTCCTCGGTTATGAGGCTGTCGGTTCCCTGGTCAAACGTCTCACCTCCAAGGATCCGGACGTGCTGAAAAACTGTCTGGACACGCTGCTCGTGCTGCTGGATTTCCCCCAGGCCGTGCAGACGTTTGTCGAGAGTGGAGGAGTCTCGAATGCGCTTGGTCTGCTCGGTAGCGACTATCCTGTTCTGCAGAGCCTATCGCTGTCTGCTCTGAGAAAGGCGATGCGTTCAGAAGGTGGTCGCATCGCCATTCGGGATGAGGGCGGACTGGAGAAGCTAATCACATTGCTGGAAGATCCCAAGCTCGAGGATCTTCACTCGAGCTCACTTTCTGTCCTCGACGGTGCCATCCTCGACATCAACAACATCCACGCTATCCACGAGTTCGGTGGCCTGGTCAATCTCCTGACGTTCATCCAGACCACCACTGTGCTGGACGTGCTGGAGCAGTGCGGCTTCCTTCTGGCGAAGATGTCCGAAAACGCAGAAGTACGCGAGATCTTCCACGAGCTCAGCGTAGAGCCAGTGCTGGTGTCCAGCTTGCTCGCTACCGGACACGCCGGCAGTCAGAACGGAGCAGCGCGCGCCGTCGGCCACATGTGCCACATGCTGGAGGCGCAGGAGGAGCTGGTGCGATTGGACGTGGTGACCATACTGCTCAGCATGGTCTCCAACCCGGAGGCGTTCCAGTCTGCCGTGATGGCGCTGGCCGCCGCCACGCACAACCACCAGCAGGCCTGTCGCCAGGTGTGTGGCAGCGGCCAGCTGGAGCAGCTGGTCGGCCGGCTCGGCATTCACGACGACGAGACCGTCTCGCACACGGCCACCGCGCTGCGTAATCTGTCCGAACAGGAGACGCTGCGCCCGGTGGTGGCCGCCAGCAGCGCGCCGGAGCGGCTGGTGGCCTGCCTGGCAGCCGATTCGCCGGCCGTGCTCGTCAGCGTGTGCGACGCGCTCGGCGTGCTCTGTCTGAACCTGAGCGCGCGACGGCAGGTGGTCCAGTACGACGCCGCCCAGCTCTTCATGGATCTGCTGGAGCACGAGAGCGGGGCGGTGCGCGACGCCTGCGTGCGGACACTGCAGGTGATCGGCTCCGACTTCAGCGCCGCCGAGCAGCTCTGCAGCGGCGGCGCGATCGGCTCGCTGCGCAGACTGCGCGCCACCTCTACACTGAAAATCATCATGGAAGTGAACCTGTCGGCACTGTACAGCATCTTCGGCCGTCTGGGCGTGCGGCACAAGCTGTACGACCTGTTCTTCGACTGCGGCCGTCAGGAGACGTGCGAGGCGGTGCCCGACCTCGCCACGCTAATGGAGCAGCCGCTTAGTCACACTCGCCTGGTGTACCTGCTGCACTCGGGCGCGTGTCCGTACGTCAGTGACGAGGGGCGGCCGGCGGCCGATCACGCCCAGCCGCCTCACCGGCAGGAGGAGATCGCAACAGACGGGCAGTCGGCAGAACAGGTGGCTACTGAGCAGGGCCAGCTGGTCACCGAGCGACCGCCGAGTGATCGCACGCTAGAGGGGGTTCGCCAGCAGCACACGGAAGGAGAACCAGGTGTGGCTTATACCGCGCCAGGAGACGGCGCGACCACGGACGATAAGCCCGATAATGCGGGTGAGAGCAAGCCCTCGGATCTGCCAATAGGTGCCAGTGAGGATCCCAGCCAGTCGGCTCTCCTCACTCCTGCTGCTCAGTCACCTTATCAGGAGATTGGGGCTGCCCCTCACAAGAACTCTGAGGATTCCGAACGGCCAGTCGCCGAGAACTCTGAGCTAGCTTCTCTCGGGGCGCCGCCCCCGCCTCCACTGCCACCAGCGGAGGCTGCCAAGTCGTCGACGAGCGAGGGCGAGCCTGAGCAGGTCCGACCGCTGCCGGACGCCCGTCTGGCCGCCTACGTGGAGCACGCCCGTCTGGTCGTGCAGCCGCTGGCCTGCGACCGGGCGCAGAGCTCAGCGCTGGCCCAGTTCGTGGCCCAGCGGCTGGGCGGCGCTGTGGCACGCGAGCACCTTGGCACCTGGTCCGCCGAGATGCACCTGGCGCAGCTGAAGCGCAGCCGGTGCTCCAACGTCATCTCCGTGGGCGACGTAGAACGGGCGGGGATGCGGTGCCGCGCGCTGCTCTTTAAGTTCCTGGCCGACCAGATTGGCCTGCCGTGCACCCTATGGCGCGGTGGCGCCGGCCGCCACTGGAACACTGTGCTGCTGCGTGGTGAGCGGCAGATGGCGCTGCTGGGCCCCTACCTGGACACGGTCGTTGACTTGATGCACGAGCCCGGCCGACTGATGCCGGCCGACTCGGCCGACGCCGTCGAGTACACCAGCGGGCTGGGATCTCGCCACTGACAGGCGCCAGAGGACATCTGGAGGCTTGGCTCCCATTTGTGGTCGTGCCAGTCTGAATACAACGGGGGCTCAGTTCCACCAGGTCACCCCGTCGGCACCAACGACGGACGTGGAGTCCATACATCAAGACACTAAAATCCCACCTGTGGTTGGGCTGCATCGAATGTGCCAGTGCGCTCAGCTCCCACCGGTAATATGCAGCAGGCTACACTAGAGGTCGTCACTCACCATGGGCCATCACTAGAGTACACCAGGAAATTGGCTGTTGTTAGTGGAAACTCCATATTTCACCCCATACGTCATCGCTCCGTTGATCCGCAAAAAGTGAGCACCTTCCAGCCGTGTATTGTAGTGAACAGATTCTCACAACATATACACATATGTGGTTGTCTCAACCCCTAATCCAGACCCCTTTCGTACAAATGCCATGTTCAATGCGAGATGTAATCACATGTTCAATGTAAGGTTCAATGCATCTGGCCCAGGCAGTGTAGTGTGCGACCTAGTATACGTGGCATACATGAATACGTCGTGTACATAAGTCGTGTACAATACATACATCGTGTTACTCACATGCCCGAAGCATGAGTGATTTAGCCCGCCAACATCCATCTTGTGCGATGTGCAGTATATAACAGCAACTTCAATAGTGAATGCGAGACATGTGTGGTTGATTTCCCTGAGAAGGCATCACTTTCATGCAGTAGGAGTCACTCACACGTCGTTCGGATACTTCGCGAAGGACACCTGAAATGTGGCCAGCGTCCATCGGGGATGGAACGCGAAGCCTCAACCGACGTCTGATAGGGCCCGGGTCTATTGGAGAATGAGCAAAGACCAGGGACATGCATTCAGGATCCAGAACTGTTTTGACACACTGCCAACGATGTTGATTAGACCGTGTTGTGGGTGTCCGTGCCAAACTTGTGGCCGTTCCCCAATGTGTTCTCCATCAGCTGCAGGGCCTGGAAAAGAGAGGGCTGCTGAGGCCAAAGCGTGAGCTTCTTCTTCCATGTTCATACTGATACAAAGAGTGCTGACATCCTTGTGAAACATCCATTTTTACAGAACCGTGGTAGAAATGTGCGGCATTTTGTGGGGGTCAATTGTTACGACATTTCGGCAAGTTTCAGCCACTGCGGAGCAGCAATGTTCAGCGGTAAAGAGATAAACTAACAGCCACGTGGAACCAAGGGCTGTGTGGTTTGTTCGCTTTTCAGATCGGCTGGCAGCAGCGGATCAGCAGAACAGGTACCGCAGTTGCAGGTAGCACGCACTGCGTTCTCACCGCGCCCAAAGATTGTGTATTTATTTGTTCTTTAAGAGTTTATGTACTCTGTGGTCAGGCTTGACTGCTTGCCATCATGCTGACAGCCAGTTTAAAAAAGGCGCAGTTTTAAGCTCATCACGCAGCGGCCAGCCTACACATGGCGACCCGCGCAGTCAAGAACAATAGTTCGGGCCACTGACCGTCAGGAGGCGCTCGAGCGTGTGTTCGGTATAGAGGGCGCGTCGGTAACGTCCGGGCCGGCCGTGGCGGCCGCGCAGGCTGGCGCGCAGCTGCTGCAGCCGGCTAGCCACCACTTCAGGCTTCAGCGGCAAGTAACCGTACTGTCCGGCGACCATGGTGCTAAACAGCAACAGCGCCGCCACCGGAACGGCCAGCTGGGGGAAAGCGGGCAGCCGTCAGTGCCAGCCTGGCCAGCTGGGGGAGAGCGGGCAGCTGTCAGCACCAGCCTGGCCAGCTGGGGGAGAGCGGGCAGCCGTCAGTGACAGCCTGGCCAGCTGGGGGAGAGCGGGCAGCCGTCAGTGCCAGCCTGGCCAGCTGGGGGAGGGCGAACAGCTGTCAGTACCAGCCTGGCCAGCTGGGGGAATGCGGGCAGCTGTCAGCACCAGCCTGGCCAGCTGGGGGAGAGCGGGCAGCTGTCAGCACCAGCCTGGCCAGCTGGGGGAGGGCGAACAGCTGTCAGTGCCAGCCTGGCCAGCTGGGGGAGAGCGGGCAGCTGTCAGCACCAGCCTGGCCAGCTGGGGGAGAGCGGGCAGCCGTCAGTGCCAGCCTGGCCAGCTGGGGGAGGGCGAACAGCTGTCAGTACCAGCCTGGCCAGCTGGGGGATTGCGGGCAGCTGTCAGCACCAGCCTGGCCAGCTGGGGGAGAGCGGGCAGCTATCAGTACCAGCCTGGCCAGCTGGGGGAATGCGGGCAGCTGTCAGCACCAGCCTGGCCAGCTGGGGGAGAGCGGGCAGCTATCAGTACCAGCCTGGCCAGCTGGGGGAATGCGGGCAGCTGTCAGCACCAGCCTGGCCAGCTGGGGAAGAGCGGGCAGCTGTCAGCACCAGCCTGGCCAGCTGGGGGAATGCGGGCAGCTGTCAGCACCAGCCTGGCCAGCTGGGGAGAGTGGGCAGCCGTCAGTACCAGCCTGGCCAATACTTACCATGAAGGTGTCATGCGACAAAAATTGTCCTAGATTCGTGCCGTATGCGACAACTGTCTGCATTTATAGATCTCTTACAATATCAAGCATTGTTTTTCGCACAGTCAGATTACCGTACAGTCTAAACCATGACCTTTGTGGCGATCCACTAAATCTGCATTAGGATGTGTTGATTTCATTCATTCCGTCCAAACCACATATTGAAACGTGAAATACGCTTGGAAACATTCAACATCTTTGGGTGGTAAGAAGTGGCAATTAAATAGCACTAGTTATCTCGATATTAGATACTTTCCCCACACAGAATCACACAATGATTGTCCATGCTGCAAACGTAGGCACCCAATATTCACTCGCAAAATGCCCAATTTAAAACTAGATGAATACCAACGTTGGCTGTTTGACTGGGCGTCGCGTGATTTGGTCCGTCCAGGTTTGAGATGGCCCTTTCACAACGGAGAGCTTTTATTACGCCATCGAGATGTGTACATGATGTTCAGCATAAATATTGCGAGCCATCCCCTTTGTTTTGGTGCAAGATGACGAACCCACATTCCAGGGTTGGCCAGTGCTGGAAGATGACCAGTGCGTGGTAAGCACCCTTGTACAGGGACGGCACAGGGGCCGTTCTTTCTTGTGCGGTGTCCAGTGCGGGTGTCCAGTTGGGTCTCCGTCAAGTGCCCTTAAGCCGCTTCATGCCGGACGGTCGCGGCTCACACCGATGGTTAGGGCTCAGTATGAGGCGACGAGCGAGGGCAGAAGCGTAATTAGGCAATGAGCTATTATTTCTGGTTTGCTTAAACCCTGCTCTAAGTCGACCTTGCCATATGAAATTAAACCGCTGCCCGGAAAACAACGCCGTTTGATTGCGTCTGGTCGGCGTCACCACATCGTAGCACAGCTGCGCTAATGACGGCTGGAGTGTAGTTTCCTGTTCAGTTGGCTGAGGCGGAAGCCCCTCTACCTCAACTTGGGCGTAAGCCCCATCCCCCCCCCCCCCAGCTTTGGGGAGAAATTGAGCAAAATTCCGGGAGAAATGTTTGTACGCATATTTGGGGGAGATTGGGTTAATTTACATTGTTCAGCATCCCCTCCCTACCTGAACTCATTTTGCGAAACTTCGTCCCTAGATGTCGGGAAGCAGCAAAAGGCGTTGTGGCACGGATCGCGATTGTCACAGTGCCAGACATAGGCGCAGGAACGCTTCAAAAAGTGCGGGGCCAGGCTCAGGGCATACTTCAGGAATTTTCTTGGAAAACAAGCCCGATGCCAGGGGGAGGGGTAGAGATGGCGGTTATCGCTATTTATTCAAATGTAATGACTGCTTTTCTGGATATGCATCCCGAGCTATTTCTCACTGGTGTACATTGTAAAACTGTACACTGTAAAAATTGAGTGCTTATGCATGTCTTTTATCGGTTGAATTGTTTGCGTGTCCAGAAGCTTTATGTAAACGGGATGCAATGCTAGACATACTGCGGACACTTTCTGTGGATACATAAATATATACACTACAGAAACACAGAATGGTAAATCGTGCGCATATTCCAATTGGCGGCACGCAAGAGAGAGGTGCACTGCGCAACTGCACCCCTTAATCTTCACAAAATAAGTGCGTTTATACGAAGCTGATGCAAGCTTCCAGGCTTCCGCATGTGACTGCTGTGACTCCACACATGATCTTAAAAGCTGTGTGACAGATGCAGCTTATACACACACACACACACACATATATATATATATATATATATATATATATATATATATATAATATACGCGTATATGATCGGGAGCCAGAAACAAAAGTGATTTGTATCCGAGAAGTTTTGCGTACCCGTTCCCTTATGGAGACTTTCAAGACTCTGCCCCCCCCCCCCCCCAATCACTTCGAGAAATCGACACCCATGGACTCGAGACTGCCATCCGTCGCACAGGTTTGGAACGGAGAAGTCACCCCGATACTGCTTGAACACGATACAACTCACCACCACTCCCCCTGGTGTGCAGAATAGAACATGTTCATTCGATCCCACTGTAGGAGGGCTGTCAACTGGGGCCGTATCGTGAAGAACATGTCCATTCGATCCCACTGTAGGTGGGCTGTCAACAGGGGCCGTATCGTGAAGCTCGGCCGAGGTTGGATGCTTCATCAGTGTGCTAATATCATCATTGTGCTGTTATTGTTATCGTGTTGATAGTGTATTATTGTGGTTAATATCACAGACGGGCTATTGGTGTGCAGATGATCACTGAATGAGTACGACCGCATAGATTGGCCTGGCCAAAACATGGGAGCCGTTAAAAAACGTTTCTTACCGTGCACGGAGGGTGCAACCTGGTGCACGACATAGCACGGTGGTAGGCAGGAGGCCAGCCAGCTGGCACCGCAACATTCAACTCCGGAGAATGCACCTGTTTTATTGGTATGCACATTGGCACCTGATGTTAAAAAGAGCATTGTACGTCAATCGTCATTTTTAAGGCAACACATATCGTAAAAAATCGTAAACAGGTGCATCTTTAATCTTACCCTCATAGGCGTAAGAACGTTTCAAAGAGTGTGTGGGGG